CGGCGGTCATTGGTGTCAAGGTGTACCATGATGCCACTACCTCTTCTCCAACCTCCGGCAGTCTCGTTGACAGTGGGAAGGACGGCGAACACCCTCGCGCCTATGTGGTGTTAGGACAGGGCAAGAGTGCAACTGAAGCAGATGTGAGAGAATGGTGCGGCCAACACCTGGCCAAGTACAAGGCTTTGAGTGGGGGTGTGAGATTCATCGACGCTCTACCAAGGAATGCAGGCGGCAAACTCTTGAAAGGTGTCTTGCGAGAAGAGGCGGCCAAACAAGTTGGATTTGAAGGACGACCAATGCAAGATATAAAGAGTCTCCACGGGGTGGATGGGCTCAGCTCTACCATCAGGCCCAAACTGTGATTCGCGGCCAAAGAATCTCTTCTTAGAAACTGAAGACTACAAGAAAGAAATCAAAGAGAGGTAGCATATATCAATGTGGTCAACTGGAGAGCTCTCTAGCTATATTTGCTCCATCTTTGCCCTGGAGAGCCTAACCTTGATTAACTTGGCAAGGTAGCAACGTTATGAAGGCGAGCAACAAGGTCAAACTACAATAATAGAACAATCTAAACGACTGTTGGCATGTTAAGCAAGGGAGGCAGTTCATCCCGCCCACGTGCTTATGGGTCACGCCACAAGGACATCCAGTACCTACAAGTACGCGTAGAAATTGAACTAACCCAACTTTCGGCTCCTTTTATACTAGTATAGCCATGGAACTCGGCATGGCCAAGGACAGAAATTCAGGGCTCCTAAATTTCGACTCGGATTTGGTAGGCAGCCCAGCCTTAGATAGCTGTCTTGCTCATAAACCACGCGGCCTCCGTTCCCAATCTAACCGATCTTCGTATATATATGATCTTTATTGGACATGGCGGTGGGTGATCTCCCTGGACCGACTTCTGGAGCCATCAATTGGAAAATGAAGACCGTCGGTGTCGGGGCGTCCTTCAGCCCGCTCCAGCAGGACGTATATTTACAAAGAGAGGTTCGAAATGCTCTTTTCGCCATATATTCTACTGTTGCTCGTAACCGGGAAAAGCTGTCGGTCGACAACCTCTACACTGGACACTTTCGGACGAAAACATGAAGGGCTCTCTCTTTACACTGGTGATTACGGCTATACATGCCGTGGCCGTCGCGAGTTCAGCAACACATATGGAGGCGCTCCAGGGCCGCCAGTCAGCTCCACTGCTTCCTAGTCAGGATCCTTTCTACAGGACACCACCGGAAGGCTATGAAAACGCTCGGCCTGGAGACATTCTTCGTATGAGGAATACAACATTATCCTCAACTTTCAATGCCAGCTCCGCAGCATACCAATTCGTCTTCCGCACTACCAACAGCCTCGGCCAGCCTCTGTGGGCCTTGAATACGCTCTTCGTGCCCAAGACGCCGAACACTACTCACCCGGGATTGCTGTCATACCAGGTCCCCTATAACACTGCCGACGTCGATGCTAGCATTAGCGTTTTGCTGTACGCCGAAGCCTCCGATCTGGGTGAGTTTGCCTCCTCATTTTCTGTGAAGTGTCATTAATGACTTGCTCAAGGAATTATATTCACCGATATTCAACGAGCGCTCGATAATGGTTTCTACGTGACAGTCCCCGACCACGAGGGTCCCCATGCCGCCTTCAGCGCCGGTATACTGTATGGCCACGTGACCCTTGACAATGTTCGTGCATCTCTGAGCTACATCAACAATTCTGCAGCTCGATATGTCCTGTGGGGATACTCTGGCGGGTCCTTAGCTAGCATGTTCACCGCCGAGTTACAGAACACGTATGCGCCTGAACTTCAATTCGCTGGCATAGCTATCGGCGGTTTCGGCCGCAACGTGACATACATTCTTGAGTACCTCGACGGCACTCCGGGAGTGGGAGTGGTTCCGGGCAGCATCATCGGTACTCTACAGCAATATCCGGACGGCTACAGCCATCTGCTCAGCGGCCTCAAGACATCGGGACCTTTCAACTCAACAGGCTTCCTGGCTGCTCGAAACATGTCCGCCGCCTCAGCCCTGCTCGGATATGCAGGCCAAACTGTCCTTGAAGACTACTTCGTCACTGGCCGACAGTTTCTACTGAATCCGGTGGTCAAGAAGATCTTCGCGAAAGAGTGGGTTTTGGAAACCCGCGGGGCCTGGAACATGCCCATTTACGGATACAAGACGATCAACGACGAGTTTGTACCCATTGCAGGGGCCGAAGAGCTTGTGGATGAGTTCTGTGCTTCCGGGGCCAATGTTTTGTATGAAGTCAACAGGGTTGGCAACCATCAAGACGAAGAGGTCAATGGCGATGCTTCAGCCTGGCGATTCTTAGAGAGTGCTTTGGCAGGCGACAAAGTCTTCTCCTCCAGGTACGCCACACATGGCTGCACGTACCGGAATGTCACCATCGGCATCGAAGTCCATCCACCCTTTACGCCTTTGGTTGTTTGATGTCCAAGGCCCCGCGTTTGTACAGCCAGCCACTCTAGACTGCCGTATGCCAAGAGGCTAGAAAGCCTCCGAGTCTTGCCTCGTATCGATAATGAAACACGGGTGAGGAGGCTAGTGAGGCGAGAGTTCGTCCAGCCTCGTGTGGCTTGAGATAGGCGAGTGACCCTCCACAAGTTATCCCACTCACACCCACTCACACCCATTCCAACCTCGTTGTTTTCACCATGGCCGTGAGAAAATAGAAAGGCAGGCCAGACCCAACATCTGTTCGTTTGCTCGCCCAACGACTTTCTTCTGCATCTCTCGCTCTCTCTCTATTCTTTTCCTGCGTTGTTGTCCTCTACCCATTGTGCGCCCAGTTCTCAGGTGGTTCGTGTGGTGCAGCCAGCCGAAGGCGGGGCACTCGGGCTCTTGATCAGACTCTGGCCTCAGTTGAGAAGAAGTCGACGGCGTCGAGGACGGTAGCGACAAGTTTTGCTGATGCAAAACCGGTCTGAAGAGTTGTTCTTCTGACTTGAGCGTCGCAATATTGGTTGCTGCGCCTCTGCGCTGTCTCCGTTTTCCAATTGATCTGCTGCCACGATTTCCCCGTGCGGGCCGGACCCTTGTCCCCTCTAGCAGCCAGCCATCCAGCTTCTCACACCACAGTGACTCCTATTGCATCACCGCCGCCCCATGTCGCAAGACACGTTTAATCAAGGCTTCGGTGCCCTTGCACCACCAAATCCACGCAGATTGCCCTTTGATTTCAACGACCACGACCCTCCCTTATCCCTTCCTCCCCCTCCGCCACCGACTAGAGGTCACCAACGATCTAGAACCACCGTCGACCTCCCTCCGCTGTTCACCCGCACGCAGTCTTCCTCCCCTACTAGATCCTCTGCATTTTCCTTTCTGCGGCCTCAAAGTACCCGCTCTTTGTCCCCGGAGAGACTCTCGGCCGCAGAGGTTGCGGAGGACCCTGTTCCAGCAGAGTCACCCGCAAAGAGAAAATCGGGTGCATTGGCGAGCTGGTTTGAGGGGTCTTCAGATCCTGTCAATATAACTCTGGTGCCTTCCGCTCGCAAGGAAAAGTTGGATCCTGTCTATGAGACTGCTACCACCGCAGAGGCTTTCTCCATGAGTTCAGACTCTATAGACAATAATCTGACCCGACGACCCCCCAGAAAGCCCAGTTTACCGGGCCCCGCGGTCTCAACCATGTCGAAGTTCAACATCTTCAGGAGGAGTACAATGACACAGAATGCTCCGGAGGATTTGGATGAATTGGCGCAGCTGGACATTGATGATGCTCTCTTCCCACACGGACACCCCGACGAATTCTCGCCCGCCGCCTTCAAAAACCTCCAGCTCAATGCCGAAGGCGCCATACGCCGCTTCCAACAGGCCTACAAAGAGCAGCGACAGTCTCTGAGATCAGCCACCTCAATCAAGAATGTCCAGGCAGACGAACTCGAGGCTGCCCAGACGAGGAATGAGCATTTAAAATTGCAATTACAAGAGATGGCAGAACGAGCTGCAGAGCAGGAGAAATTGATCGCGGATCTCAGGGCACAGTTATCGGCACAACTGTCTCTGGAATCCCAACAGCAGAGTATCCGTATGGTCCCCCAGGACATTGATTCCAAACCTCGTCCAAAGTATCGCCGCTATCGCTCATCCGACGTGTCAACATCCGGAGAATCAGAGGCAGGGTCTGAAGTGAGCTCGGTGGTCAGCATCTTCTCCGAGGCATTATCGGCAGCGCCTTCTCAGAACACATCCATCGCAAGTCCGGTGCTGAAGTCTGCAAGCATGGTGAGAGACAACTGTCCGAGGTGTCACGGGTTGAGATCCTCAGATGCATGGGATGTGGTTGGCATGATGAAGATGGAGTCCGCGGCTCTCAAAAATCGCATTGCCGAATTAGAGAGTGCACAGGACGATGCTCTGGATTTTCTCAGCGGACTAAAGTTGTCATCGTAACCAGCTCCCTCGCGATTTATGAGTTGTAAAGATACCCCCCGGAGTTTACAGGTTGTCATTGTATAGTTTGCACAGAATTATTGTGTGTATGCGGATCACCCTTGTATGATTAGAGACCTCAGCCAACCATGGAGTACAATATACGCAGTACGACGCTAAGCTTGTGTGTGTAACACCAACCGGGGGCATTCGAGCACAAGCCCTGATGAGGCTGAGTCTGTGTGTGACATCCAGTGACGAGGCTGGATCTTGCTGACCTTGCACCGCCCATTCAGATTCCCACAATTCCCCAGCCACCGAAACACCTCGCCAGCCACTTGATGCCTGGAACAGCATCCAATCCACTCACTTCAGTCCTCGACTTTCAGCTTCATCTGAACTGTGGACATTTTGCCTGACAGGCGTGGCCATACAGTCTGGATCTCGAGATTGTCACTTAATGCCAGTGATGAAGGTGACTTGCCGCTCATCTGAAGAGCAGACCGACGACCTTTGAGTGCTTCGCACGCGTCCCTCTTTCTGCTCTGTGTCTTTTCCGTCGCTCTCTCGTTGCTGCACTTCGTACTAATTGAGCAGGCCAAAGCCATGTCCTTCAGCGGGAAGACGCCAGAATCTCTGCTTCCTCGTTCAGACTCGAGAAACCCCGCCACTACCTGCAGAGGCATCACCAGTACGGGAAGACCATGTCGCCGACCTCTTGCTGCATCTCCGAAGAACTCTCCTACCCCCTCACCGAGTCGAGGCAACGGGGTCCTTGCCGTGTTGGATGAGCAGAGTGCCGCGGCTTTCTATTGCTGGCAACACAAGGACCAGGCCGAGCAATTGGCCGCTCAGGCCGGCCGGACGAGTCTACACCCGTTGAAAGAGAGATCGAGTATTGACACATTGATTGAGCAAGTGGGGATCCTCGAGTTGGACGAAGACGTGCCGAAGCGGCATCATCGGCGACATGATCCGCAGAGTGTGAAACGACGGGACACGTTGCCATCGGGCTGGAACCAGCTGGAGAGTCCGCTCATGACGGTGCCAGAGGAAGTGGTGCATCACCGACGGCCAAAACGACCCCCTCCCCCACCACCAAAATCGAACGTGAAACTCTCTTGGGCCTGCTGCATTCAAGCGGATGGTGACGATGATTTACCTCCAGCAAGAGTCTGGAGGGAGGACAGGGACAGACGCCGACAACATCACACCGAGATAAGGCCTTCATCCTCTGTGAGACCCGAAATGCGGCAGTCATCTACCACGCCCGTCCGACCGAAACCAAGTCCAGCACCTTCTCAGACACAGACACTCCTCTCGCTAATCCCATCCAACCTCTCGCCTCAGACCACGTCGCAACTGCTCGCAGAGCTAACCCGCCCCATCTCCGCTGCGGATGAGGCTGGATACATTTACATTTTCTGGCTCACTCCCGAATCTGAAATATCGAAACCTGACGACGAGACGGCTTCCTCTCTTCTGGACGATGACGATGACGACAATGAGGACGACGTACTGTACAGCCGCCGATTGCAGAGAACAAATCATGCTCTTGCCCGGTACGCGTCCGTCCGCCGGCCGCCGAACCAAGTGCAGCCGAAACGCACCATCACGCTCAAGATTGGCCGCGCAGCCAACGTGCACCGGCGCATGACTCAATGGACCAAGCAATGCGGGCAAAACATCACGCTGATACGATACTATCCGCACAGCAACCGCGCCGCCGTCAACACTCCCACTTCTACTCCTCCCGCTCGCGGCTCAGCGAGCACGCATCCTCCAAGCCGAAACAGCAACAAGGTCTCGCACGTGCACAAAGTCGAAAGACTGATCCACCTCGAGCTCTCGGAGAAAAAGGCCGTCAAGAGCGAATGTGAGCAGTGCGGGCGCGAACACAAAGAGTGGTTCGAGATCGAGGCGACGCGCGAAGGCCTGAGGGGCGTGGATGAGGTGGTGAGACGGTGGGTTCGATGGGCAGCGAGACAATAAAACACTAATCAGGCGGACCTTTTTTTATTGTTCTGAGGTACTACTACGACTGCATTGGGAATCTATGGCGTCTGCTCGTCGACGAAGAGGATTGTGTGTTTCGCTCGTTCTGCTTACATCCCCCCAGCAGATCGTACTAGACTCGGTGAGTAGTTCTCCGCCTCATGATGGAATGGAGTCGCCCTGATGGCGAGCACATGTGTATATCAAGACATATGAATACACGAATCAAGTACACGCGACCACCGAGGCCCTGAAAAGAATGTCGAGCATAATTTCTCTCTCCCGCAATGCGAACCGTTTTCGTTGCTCTTTTGTCATCTCCTTTGTAGAGCGACGCTTTCAAGTTACAAGCGGTCCAGTTTGCGCGTGCCTGGCCAGGCAGAAAACTAGAGAGGATGGTTGCTGCAGTGGACAAAATACCCATTGCGGTTTGTTCCAGAAGGGAAAAGTGCCAACTGTTCCTCAAGATGGACTTGGGGAGAAGAGAAGGATTGGATTCTAGATGGCTGCGGCTTTGGCAAAGGTTCGGAGTTGCATACGAAAATCTTCTGTCAGGGCTTGTAAGCCTTCCTGGGTCCGAGAGTGTGACGAATTTAGCGGTGTCCGCGTAACACGTAGGGGACCTCCCTGCCATCTTCAATACGTAAGATACTCAGCTGAATGTGAACACCATGGATCATGGACATCCAGACGTCAGCAATGAGGAAGAGCTGGATCGCGTTAAAAGTCGTGATCGTTTTCCATGCTAGGGATCATATATTGCTTTCTCCCAGATCTGGATATAGTCGAGTAAGCAGCTTGATGAAAATCTTGGTGGGTAGATCACGGACATTTGGCACAGAGAGCAGTGTCTCAAGCGTAGGTGGCTGACCGCTGAGCATCATGTCTTTGAAGGGTTGTGTTGTGTGTCTCTCGAAGTCGTTGTCGAAGTCGTTGTTGTCAAAGTCGTTGTTGTAACCATTCTCATCCGCATTGGACGTCGCGGAGCGTCACACCCAGCTCGTGGCGGGCCAAGCGCACTATCTAGGCTACCGGTTCGCCCAGTATTTCACAGCGACGATTCCAGTGAGGCCATCCTTGATCGTTGCCGCGGCATGACAGCAATCAAACAGGAGCAGAAGGTCGCAATCAGCCAATTTCACAACAGGGCGTTGCATTCGACCGATCCTTCCTCCTGCACCCCTGGATCGCCCTGCTCGCACATTGTTCCGCCTGGAATGAAGCTCTTCTCCGCGATGGATCCGATTCCGGCGGGCAAGGTGCTGTAAGGAACCGACAGACACCTTCGCAAGCCGCTGCCATGACTCAATCTGCGGCTGATGGTGGATCGGCTTTTGTCCAGACGGTAAAAACGGACGCTCACTCACTCACGTGCTTTGTGAAGGAGGAACCCGAAGAGTGTGGTGATGTTCATGCTTGGAACCATCCCGTCGTGGAGCTTGCTTTTGCGAAGGGGCCGAAGCACGGCAAAGAAAGGCATTCTTGTTCTACCTGTCCATGAGCTCGATGAAACGCTGATATGCTTGCTCGGTTCGTCCGAGTCTGGACAGTCGTGGTCAAGATGGAAAATCAGCAAACATTCTCGCAATTTTCGCTCCCTCCTCCGAGCGGAGAGACTGGACCCGGGAATGGGGCTCGGTGGCATAGATATCATAATTCATTCGGCTGTATTGCAGCAGCTTGTCCAAAGCCAAATGCCAGAGTCTCCTCTTCTTCGCACATCCTTTCCAAAAACCATCACAGAGCCCGTTCCGTTAAGCACTTGCCCGTGCCTCATTCACGCCGCCCTTGGTCGTAGCAGGCACATTCGAATCCAGAATGCTGCTTGCCTCGCTGATCGTCTCAGTCACGAAACTCTTGTCGTTTTTCCCACTCTTTGCACTTTTCCCGCTCTTCCCACTCTTTGTACTTCCATGGCTCGTTAGCCTGGACAAGATGGACTCGCTCTCCGCCTTGTCCGAGTGACCGCTGCCAATACTGGTTCTCGAGTCGATCATCTTCAGCTCGGGCTTCATTTCCTTCCACCTCCTAACCACCTCGAGCTTCTCCTCCACCGTCGCCTTGTTTACCTCCTCAAACCCCTCGATATACCTCGTGGCGAGGATGTAACTCAGGGTTGGATCTCCGTCTAATTTCTTCTTGATCAGGTCGTACAGGGCCCGGACTCCGTAAGCAGCGTGACCAATCACCAGTCCCCGCTGACGGAAAATCAAGTGCCCAAGGCCCCGTCCTAGGCCTTTTCCAAACCCTTTCCAGCCGTCGGATCTGGCGCCCTTGTAGGGTTCGTAGACCACGCCTGCCCAAGCCTTCGCAATGTTGATGGGAATATGCACAATTGAAGACGTGATGGAGCCCATGGTACTCAGCACCGGATTGGGTCCGACAACATGGGAACTGATGGTGCCGAATTCGACGGGGTGTTCGCAAGGGCGATAGATTGTGAGCTGGTTCACGTCCAGTAAACCTTCATTGCCTAGCACCGTGGCCGCAAAAGCGCTTAATCTGATATCTTCCGTGTTGGACCCGGTGGTCTTGACGGACCAAACGGCCGGCCGTGACGGGGCCACCAGACACCGAAGGCGGTCGACACCCATTTGGGCATGGAAACTTGCTGCGCCGACTTCGGTGCCATTTTCTTCCTTGATGCGCTCGCCCAGTTCGCGTGCCCGCTCTAGAGTTTCGGGTTTCAGCGCCTCGAGGATGGCATTCGCAAGTCGATCTGCCGTCAGTTCTTTGGACGGAATCGGCGTTGGCCCCGCCCCGGCTCTGGCAACCATGGCTCCCCAGAATGGCTGGTCGCCAAAGAAGGGGACGATGACCGTTGGGCGACCCAAGGCGATTCCGGCAGCAGTTGTACCAGCGCCGCCGTGATGCACCACACAGGAAACGTGTTGGAACAGCCAATCATGTGGTACATTGCCCAGCATATACACGTTGTCAGGTTTTCCCAGATCGTCTCCTCCGAGACCACCCCATCCCTTGGACACCAAGGCGCGTTGTCCGGTCTTTTTGACCGCATCGAAGATGAGTTTCGTCATTGCGTTGGGATCGTCTACGACGATGGAGCCGAAGCCGATGTAAACAGGCGGTGGACCTGCTGCAAGGAACGCGGCAAGAGTGGGATCTGGACGGTAGTTTGACGCCAGCGAGAGAAAGTAGAAGCCTGCAACGGTAATGTGAGGGCCCCAGTCCTTGGGCTTTGGAATAAGTGCCGGAGACCTAATCATCGCCTTATCAATTGAGAGTCCCATTGGTTCCTGGTGGCTCAAGGTTGACAGACTCACCAGCAATAGGTATAAGGGATTCGTAGACGGTGAAGCATATCCGTTGCCGCCGCCTGGGAGAGGATGTGCAGACCCAGCGTCTCCTTTCTGAATTTGTTTGTGATATCGCCCAGACCTTCCCAGGTCATCATGTCGACCAGCGTATAGCTCATTTCATTGGTCATGCTGCCGCTCGCCTTTGACGACTTGATGTTCGCGATGGGTTGCGGAAACTCGCGAGTCGGCGACCAGGGCATCCTGAGATCAACTCGGCTCAGCATCAATCCCTCAAGACAAAGAGCCGTGGACATCCACTTACGTGAACATCAAATGTAACGGGATGCCCAACTTCTCGGCGCAATGTATATGTGCAAAACTAGGCGGGTTGGCAATGATGGCGTGCGCGACGAAGGGTTTCTTTTTCGGCGCCGCTGCTCCCGCTGCATTTCCCTCGTCTTTCACCTCGTCGAAATCGGCGCACGACCTCCAACATCCTTCCAGAATCTCAGCCATGCCTCTGCGTCTCTTCCCCACGTCGCCCTCCTTGATGGATTTCATCCCCGGGATCAGGCCGGGGTTCTTGACCATGAAGGCCATGAGTTCCGCCGGGTCCCCGCCGATGTCGAAGAACTCGAGCCCGTTTTCCTCAACGAACTTCTTGAACGTCCCGTGTGTCGCGAGACGGACACGGTGGCCGTACTGATTCTTGAGCACCAGCCCCAGCGCGACGAAGGGTTGGACGTCGCCTCGCGACCCGACGACCTGGACGACGACATTGAGAGACGGAGGGATTTTGGAAGGTCTTCGACTCGACTCTAAGAGGGCATGTGCGGTCTGTGGAGGTGCAGCGAGGCCTTCTTGGACTCGCGAGAGCTGGAGTTGCTCGATCTCGTTGGCGAGGAGTTCGTTGATTTCATGGATGGTGATGTTGACGCGGCCATCGTCTGGAGATCTGTCAACTCGAGCCCGTTTCATACTTCATAAACCTAGAGAGCGGAACGGCTGACCTCCAACTTTGGTTTGCGTGGTGAGTCCGTTCTGTTGCTCGTCAAGAGTTCCTGCTGCATCGACCGCCGGTCGTTGCAAGTCGGACGCCATCTTCTCGAGTGACGGTCTCTGGGCCGCTGCTCGAGGACACCGCGTCCTTTCGTGTTATGAAAGTGCGAGACTGGGTCGAGAAGCTGCCATCTTTTGCGCCTCCATCCCTGAAAGGGTAGAATGGTCTGGGGTCTCTGCGGACCAAGGAAGAGCAAGTGATCAGGAGAGGGAATTGAGGGGCAGCGCAGGGGACGATGGGCTCCTGCGATCTGCGGCCCCCATTCCACCAGCGATCGCACCAGGTGCCAGGCCTTATTAGCATCTCCATGCGTCTCGCCGTGCCCTAGAGATGTTTCTGCCCAGGTCGCCAGGTCGCCCATCCCTGATGGATCGGTGCCTCGCTGACCCATGCGGAACCATCCAGGGCCTGAAACTTATTGCTTGATTGGCTTTGCGAAAGCTTGACTTGGCTTAGTCAGCACCGCTGCTTTGATTGAGTTTGCTAACTAATAACGATCAATTGTATTCCTCCTCGAGCCCGATTGAGCAAGGAGCAATTACTAACACACTCTGGATCGACGACGAGATGCGTCCGTCAGTGAAAGTGAAGTGGATTGATTGGGATTAAAAAAGTCAGAGGAAGACGGGGAGGAAGAGGGCGGAGGCAAAGAAAGTGCCCCAACACATCAAATATCA